GATCGTGTTCGACTCGACGAACGTGTTCGACTCGATGAACGTGTTCGACTCGACGATCGTGTTCGACTCGACGATCGTGTCCGACTCGACGATCGCGTTCGACTCGATGATCACGTTCGACTCGACGATCGTGCTTGACTCAACGATCGTGTTCGACTCGACCACCGTGTCCCTCTCGCCGATCGTTGTCCGACTCGACGTGTTCAACTCGCCTATCGTGTTCGACTCGACGAACGCAATCGACGATCGTGTTCGACTCGACAATCGTATTCGACTCGACGATCGGGCAGTGTCGTGTTCGACTCGACGAACGCAATCGACGATCGTGTTCGACTCGACGATCGTATTCGACTCGACGATTGGGCAGTGTCGTGTTCGACTCGACGATCGGGCAGTGTCGTGTTCGGCTCGACTATCGTGTTCAACTTGACAATTGTTTTCGGGTCGACTATCGTGTTCGACTCGACGATCGGGCAGTGTCGTGTTCAACTCGACGAGCGTGTTCGACTCAACTGTCGTGTTCGACTCGACTATCAGACATCGGGCACGATCGTGTTCGTGTCATGCACTGTCATGTTCGACTCGACGATCGGGCATGATCGTGTTCGACACGACGATCGGAGACGATCGTATTGGACTCGACGATCGGGCGCGATCGTGTTCGACTCGACGATGGGGCACCGTCGTTTTCGACTCGACGACCGGAAGTGCCACGTGGCATTACGTGGTTGAATCTGGGCTGCGTGGTTGTATCCTCACCGTCCGATCCTTCAAACTCGGGGTGCTCCGTTGTGGTTGTGCGTCGCGATCTCGGGCCGTAAGCTCGCTACGTCGTCACGCTGAACACGCCTCTCGACAGCTCTGTGGTCCGCCGTCACGTCGAGCAGGTGGTCGGCTATGCACGGACCGAATCCCTGCGCTCCGTTGCAGCGCTGTACACGAGCCTCCACTGCGCTGCGCTGTGGCACGAGCCTCCGCTGCGCTGCATCGACGAACCTCCGTTGCGCTGCTCTACTGCTGCCTTGCCGAACTGAAACGAAAATGAGAACTGGTGGCCCTCCCTCATATATATAGTTTTTCGGGAGGGCCCTTCGCGAGCACCTGCTGGCCGTCCGATCCGGGAATACTGACGATCGGGATTTTCCGATGGGGAGTGGTGGACCTTCCTCATATAAGTGGTTTTCCGGGTGGGCCCTCCGCGCGCGCTTGATGGCCGTCCGATCCGGGAATACGGACGGTCCGATCCGGGAATAC